CACCACCCCTGAAACAAACTCTTAATACCACGCTGAAGCGTTTGGTAATAAATACAACTCAATAGTAGCAGCATGCACTCAAATGCAAGTGTTCATAACAATAAGTGATAACAAATAACAGCAAATTTTCAGAAATTGATGGCAGAAAAGGACTGGAAACAGGAACATTATTCATGATTAACAATCTGATAAACTGTGCATGACCACTATTGTATGCCTGCCTTGTTTTACTTGTATCGGCGAAACTCCATAAATGGTGAAATGCTCATCTAAATTTGGGTTATCTGTAAAACAATGGACACTGAGTCTTGTGCTGTTGTGCTGCTGGTGCCAAGAGGCGAAATCTCTGAAATTGAAAGCGAGATAATGAGTCTGCAATACCATTGTGAGCACCTGGGAGATGGTGGGCTAAGAAAACAAAGTTATGTTGCATAGCCAATAAAGTTAGCCATCTCAACAGCTTATTAATTATGCAACAGTGACTGGAAGCTCTTCCTTTTCTAATAATATGCACTGTTGCAAAATTGTCACAATTGAAACTGATTCTGTGCTGTGACCACTGTGTACCCCAAAGCATTGCTGCCACTACAATGAGATACAGCTCAAGCAAAGCCATGCATAAGTCATCATTATGTTGTGAATCTAACTCAACTGGCCACTTATCACAGAACCAGCTCCCTTTAAAATATCCCCCAAAGCCCACAGTGGATAGAGCATCTGTAAAGATATCAATGTCTGAGGCAAGTGTCACTGTACTGTGTAGAAAGAAATGGGCTTCATTCCAAGCAGCTAAGAAATGTTCCCACATAGCCAATTCCCTACGACAATCTAAATTGAGAGAAATATTACATGTACATGTAATTAAAAAACGGATGCTGCTAACTGTAATAAATGTGAAAGAAATGATCTCCCTGATATAATCACTCTCGTTGCAAAATTACGGTGCCCCAATAATGATAACAACTGGCTCTTTGTAATGTATTCTTGGATGTAACCTCAGCAAACTTGGTCAATATTCATGCTTTTTTATCAGCAGGTAAGAAAGCAGTCATGTCTTTAGAACTAAGCAAAATACCGATATATTCAAGTTCCTGGGCTGGGCCTAGAGTTTTATGCTTAGCCAAGGGTATGTGATGCAACACCAAACTTCCTTCATTTGTTAGTATTGCCATTGTCATTCCCATATAAGGATAAAACTTGAGCTGTGGCTGGTTGGTTGGTGTGCGATATGGGTCCAGAAGAATGCGATGAGGCCATATTGTTAGAGTCTCGTCCACAAAAAGTTTCACCAGATGACTCCCCACTCGGTGGTGACAGTAGTGGCGGAGTATTATTGTTGCATACGCCGACTGTGGTCGTAGCCGCAGTTTCAACAAGATCATCGTCTACTAGGTTCAGTTCATAGACTTGGATTAAACTTTTCCTATTCATGCTCGGTGGCAGTTTCATTCTAAGTTGCCGCAACTTTTCGCGTAACACGAGTGTAGTCCAATTCGCAGAGTTATTGGGATCCAGAGTTGAACTCGTCGTAGGAATTTCTACCTCCGCTGATGATACCGCATTGCCTACTAACTTTGTTCGCCATATCTGTAACTGCATGTCGCTTTCTGCCTCCACGGCGTGTAACCATACTGTGGCTGTCCATTTCACAATTAATTACTACTTCAGTTACGGAAATTGAAGACATGAATAAATAAAATGAGAATAGCTTAAGCTCTGTAACATTTTCAGACTACTTCCAATATGACGCCAGAAACAAACTGATTGTGATGTTGAGCCACGTGAGAAAGTGCGAGATCTATGTAAATATCACACGAGAAAGCATGAGATTCGCGTCATAAACATGGTTTAATATTACACATTAAACCTGTATTAAAAAACTCTTATACTTACTTCATAGCCTCTGTAATCCACTTCAACATCATCACCATACACATTGATATGTTGATTAGCATTATTAAACACAGTGGCTATAAAGAAAGATACAAATAATACATGGATTATTTTGACAGAGATAATACAGAATGATACACACAGACAGAATACAGACAGAATAATACAGCTTGCCTGGCCTAGAATTTGAATCACACCAGGGTATATCCTCAGATGGGATAATATAGCTTAACTGGTCTGGAATTTGAATCACACCAATGTTTATCCTCAGATGGGATAATACATCCTAACTGGTCTAGAATTTGAATAACACAAGTGTATATCCTCAGATGAGATAATACAGCTTAACTGGTCTAGAATTTGAATCACATCTGTTTACATCCTCAGATGGGATAATACAACTTACCTGGTCTAGAATTTGAATAACACCAGTGTACATCCTCAGATGGGATAATACAGCTGAACTGGTCTAGAATTTGAATAACACCAGTGTACATCCTCAGATGAGATAATACAGCTTAACTGGTCAAGAATTTGAATCACAACAATTTACATCTTCAGATGGGATGATACAGATGAACTGGTCTAGAATTAGAATCACATCTGTTTACATGCTCAGATGAGATAATGCAGCTTAACTGGTCTAGAATTTGAATCACATCTGTGTACATCCTCAGATGAGATAATACAGCTTAATTGGCCTAGAATTTGACTAATACCAGTGTATATCCTCAGACGAGATAATACAGCTTAACTGGCCTAGAATTTGAATAATGCCAGTATACAACCTCAGATGGGATAATACAGCTTAACTGGCCTAGAATTTGAATCACATCTGTTTACATCCTCAGATGGGATTAAACAGCTTAACTGGTCTAGAATTTAAATCACATCTGTTTACATCCTCAGAGGAGATAATACAGCTTAACTGGCCTAGAATTTGAATCACATCTGTTTACACCCTCAGATGGGATAAGGCAGCCTACCTGGCCTAGAATTGAATAACACCAGTGTATATCTTCAGATGGGATAATACAGCTTAACTGGCCTAGAATTTGAATAATGCCAGTATACAACTTCAGATGGGATGATACTGCCTAACTGGACCAGAATTTGAATAAAACCAGTGTACATCTTCAGATGGGATAATACAGCTTAACTGGTCCAGAATTTGAATAACACCAGTGTATATCCTCAGATGGGATGATACAGCTTAACTGGCCTAGAATTTGAATAACGCCAGTATACAACCTCAGTTGGGATAATACAGCTTAACTGGCCTAGAATTTGAATCACATCAGTTTACATCCTTAGATGGG